AAGAAAGAGAAAGAAAGAAAGAAAGAAAGAAAGAAAGAAAGAAAGAAAGAAAGAAAGAAAGAAAGAAAGAAAGAAAGAAAAGGAAGAAGAAAGAGAAAGAAAAGAGGTCTGAGGCTTGTGAGGAAAAAAGAGAACTGGAACACATGTGAGATGAGGGCAGCAGGGGCTTCGAGAGAAGGAAAGAGACAGCAAGAGGGGTACAGGGATGACAGAGAACAGTGGGAAGAGAGACAGAAGAAACTATGCATGAAATAGCATAATGATATTCATTGTTCATATGCTAGTTTAAATAAGAAAATAATGACAATGGAAAACAGCCTTTCTTCAAATTGTAAGTCTGCATATCTTCTGAAATAAGAACTTTGATTTAAAAACTATGATTGCCACCATTATTTAACATTTTATAGAAATTCTAGTCATACGGCACAGTAAAAATCTTTGTAGCAGATTCATAAAGGGTTAAACTGATAAACATTTCTCACAAAAGCGTGTCTTTAAACTATATCTATCTAATCATTCCTTAGTGTGTCTGGGTACCTTGCCCGCGTGTGTGCCTGTGCACCACATGTGTTCAGTGCCCGTGGAAGCCCCCAACCATCTGAAACTGGAGTTGCAGAGAGCTGGAAGCTGAGATGTGGCTGCTGGCAAGAGAACACAGATCCTCTACAAGAGCAACAAGTGCTCCTAACCACTGAGCCATCCCTCCGGCTCCTCAGAGTATGTAACTTTTAACAGTAAACATCAAAAAAATATCATAGATGATATTCTAAAGAAAAGATACTCTCCAAGTCCTGTTTCTATATGAACGAGGAGAGCTAATTCTAAATGTAACCATGAAAGGAGAGGGCTCAGACCATCTGCTCAACACGGAAGACAGACCCCCACACTGAACATCAAGTGTAACTAGAAGCAACACCAGGGAAACTAGCTGGCCATAAACAGTAGAGACCTTCATTGAAGAGAATTTGCATACACAACAGCCAAGACAGATCAAGAGAGAGGAAAAATGACTCAAAAGTGAAACTGGAAAAACAACAGTAGTCATCCACACAAAAACAATGAGAGTAGAGTCCAGTCTTTTACCAACCACAAGAAAGTAACAACTACAGAGATGCAAGACTCGTGTAAAAGCCAAACTTTACAACTGTGAAATGGCCTGCACTTTCAGTGGCAAAAGATTTGTTTAGCAAGACACAAGAAGCAGGACTCGTGTGCCATGCACTGGGGAGGCTTGAATTAAAGGTTAGCCTTTACAACACAGTAAGTACCAAGCCAGCTGAGAAAGAGCTAGACCATGTTTAAACAAAGGAAAGGAAGGGAAGGAGAATGGGAAAAGAAAAACATAGAAAAAGAAGGGGAAGAAAAAGGGGAAAGGTACAGAAACAGGAAAAGGGGAAGTGGAGGAAAGAGAAGTAACAGGAAGGGAAGAGAAAAAATAAAGGAGATAAAGAATGAAGAGAGAAAAAAGAGGGGTGGAGCTGGAGACAGGGGAAATGGGAGGAAGAGAAAACAGAAAATATCAAAGGATGGATAAATCTGATGAAGTTAGGGTTTCCTTCACTGAAAGATCACCTGTCCCTCTGAAGCTCATTAGCTGATGTTATCATCTAGGGACACTGTCCCTCTCCAAAGTTAGGCTCTGATTAGGATTGCTGAGGCCTGCCTCTTACATATGAGAAGCTACCAATGGGCCTTTTTAGAAATTTCTATCCTGTGGCTTACCATCTCCTCACTTGAACAAGCTCTACCTTCGTTTGCTTTCCATTACAGAGACAAAAAGCACCAAGGGGGGAAAAAGGTCTATTTTGCTTCCACTTCTACATTACAGGCTATCATCAAAGGAAGACAGAGCAAGAACCCAAGGCAGGACTCTGGAGGCAGAAACTGATGCAGAAGTCAGGAATGCTGCTGACTGCCTTGCTCTTCATGGCTTACTCAGCCTCTTTCTAACATAACTCAGGATCACCAGACCAGCCCATAGTAAACTGGGCCCTCACATATTTTTAAGAAAACACATCAAAGACTTGCCCATAGCCTAATCTGCTTGGAACAATTTTCTAAACTTTTCCCAAATAACTCTAGACTTTGTCACGTTGACATAAAACTAGGCGGCACAAGCTCTAATTGAGCAATAAAAGAACTTGATCTCTTACTTTCCCAAATACCTATCAGAATGACAAAACCCAAAATAACTAAGACCTGTAAAAGAAAGCTATACTGAAAAAACTGTCAACAAAACTTATTCTTAAAAACAATTCAACTGTCCACGATTACTTTCTGACATTGTGATAAATAGCATAACAAGAGGAGAAAGGAGAAAGGATTATTTCAGTTTATTCTTCCAGGTCATAGTCCCTCATTGAGGGAAGTCAAGGCAGGAACACAGAGGAAATAAAGCAGAGACCATGGAGGAATACTGGTTCCTGGCTCACACACTAGCTCATGCTTAACCATTCTTACATATATCAAACTTACCTACCTAGTGCTGGTGCCACCCATAATGGACTGGGCTTTCCCACATCAATCATAAATCACAATTGCTCACAAACATGGCCACAGGACAATCTCATCTAGACAATTCTTCAGCTGAGGTTTCTTCTCCCCAGGTGACTCTGGTGATTGTGTCAAGTTGACAGTAAAAACTTACCAGGACAATAATATGTATCATGTCATTCATAATATATACAGCATTATAATAGTCAAAATACAATTAGACCAGATACAGCTAGCCTAACAATATACTCAAGATGGTTTTAACAAATGACATAAAAGGAAATTGGTTAGGAGGATTTTTTTTTTGAGTCAAATGAAAATAGTGGGCATGAAAAAAATGGTTGAAATAAAAAGTATAATACATGCAAAAAGCAGAAGAAAATCTATTATAAAATGAGTTGATGAAATAAGCTTTCATAGATAGAAACAAAGAACAGTGAGAAATTACAAGGAGATTAAAAAACACAAAGTAAGAACTGAGAGAAGACCTTTTTAAAAAAATAATTTCCATGAATACATTTCTCATAACAAAAGAACGAAAAAAATTTAAAGGGCTCAAAATAATGACAAGTGCTATTTCTAGAAACATCATAGTGACATTTAACATATGTAAAACCCAGGGCTCTGCTAATGTTTAAAGCTACTTACTCAGTTGGAAAGCACTAGAGACACATTTTTTTTTTCTAGTATGCACCTTACGGGCATGGCCCCATTGTTTTCTACTGGGTAACACTCTAAAGGCACATTGACAGTCTTTTCCTTATAAGCAACTTGGTTTTCCACTGTTTTTTCTGGAAGGTGGGGGCAGTGGTGCTTTACTGCCTGCGACTCCAAGAATTCAAAGGACTTCAAGGGCTCTGGGGAATCTGTCCACTACACTTAGCCACCTGCAGCAAACTCAGAGACTTTCTTCTCTCCAGATTATCACCCAGTGATTTCTGAGGAGTTAGAAGTCAGACAACCCAGCTGCATAAAACGGAGAGACCTAACATCCTGTTGTTGCTCACTCTCTCATTTTAAAAGCTACATCAGAGCCGTTCCAACCACATGCGAATGGAGGCACAGGGATCAATGTCCTTGTGCCCTCACCCTTGCTGCTGCTTACAGACCAAGCAACGCCAGTATTGCAGACCTGCTAGCTGTGGAACAGCTAGCTCCCAGAGTCCTGTGCTTTCTTGGACCTGTCAGATCAGTGTCAACTTCTCCACAGCATTTCTGATGCTGTTATAAGTTGAATCTGAACTGTGTCCCACAGGGTTGTGTTTTGAAAGCCTGGTCTCCAGGTAGCTGTGCTGTTTCAGGAACCTGTGAAGCCTTTTGGACCCCGGCTGACTAGGGGTATGCCTTGGAAGGTTGGTTTCTGTATCCTGGGTCTGTTGGTAATCTCTTTGCTTCTTAGCCGGCTGTTCTGTAAGGAGCCCTCTACCACAGGAACTCCACAGGCCTTCCCTGCGGCCACAGACTAAGACTGCATCAGTCAGCCACAATCAGTCTCTCTTCGCATAGCTTCTACACACTAGTTTGGCACAATGACATAACGGTAAATAATATAAACTCCACAAATCATATTAGCCTCTTGCATTCTTTTCCATCTTCATTTCTGACTTATCTCTTTCCTGTTGTTTTTACAAGGAATGGAAACCAAAAATCCCATCCTCAAACGTTAGTTTCTTAAACTGAGTCTTTACCTTTCACTAATACAACACTATTATTCTTATGTTACATTTTCAAAGATAGTATCAACAATTATCTTGTTGAAACATTGAAAGCTTATAATGTAACTTCAAATATATATCAATTTAATATTTCCAACAACTTACTATTGTTTTCTAATCACAGAAATGAGTAAACTTAATATTTAAAAAGATAAGAAAACATCCAAACTGCTAACGATTTAAGATTTACCCAACTGGCATGCATATGGTGCCTCAGTCAACATGCTCTACTAAGAAATGTGTCAAAGCAGTAACACTTCCAACTTAACACCAACTTTAAATATTTTCAGAAAAACACTTGTATCTTCAGCTTAAAAGAATTTTTTTTTTTTTTTTTTTTGGGTGCTGGGAATTGAACTCAGGTCCTCTGTGAGAGTAGTATGCATTCTTTTTTTTAATTTTATTTTTTTCTTATCAGTTACATTTTATTAACTCTGTATCCCAACTGTATCCCGCCCACTCATTCCCTCCCAATCCCACCCTCCCTCCCTCATCTCTACCCTTTAAAAGAATTTTTTAAATGAAAAAATGATTTCTAAACTAAAAGTTAATGAAAAAAAAAAGATGTGAAGCCACCTCTAAGTAATATGAAGCAAAAGCACCATCTAAGAGTTGAGTCCAACCTCTTAGTGAACATCTAGGGCTGGCCACTGTCACTATATCCTGTAAGAAAATAAAGCTCTTTCTTTAAATGCAGTTACAAATTCACGTAAAGTGCGTATCAGTGCAGCATGAGGACATGGAAAATAAGATCCATGTGAAAAGTCAAAAGGAGAAAGGAAAAGCACTTACTGTGGACTGTGTCTGCACCAAATACTCTCCCTCCATTTTATTCAGACGCACATTTGTGTCCTCCAGCAATTCCTGAATAGTCTCAGTATGCCGCTTTTGAAGCTCAAATTTTTCCTTTTCCATTTCTGCTACAGCATTGTGAAGCTGCACAATGAAGTCAACAGTCTTTCACAACCATGGAATACGTCATTTTGAAATTCAAAATATGTTTTCCAATACTCCTATTTATATCTAAAAAGTAATTTGAACAAGAATCTAAAATCCACAAATAAAAATATCAAAGAGCATACAAAAATTTTCTCTGCTTTTCCTAAACAGAAATGTCAACAGATGAGAAAATACTAAAGAAATTTTCTGTCTTGTATAGAAAGTTAGTAAATCTGGTTGATAATATATATTTCTCAACTAAACAACATTATTAGTAGTCTTCAAAATGCAAACAGAAGTATTAACAATCTTGTTCATTGTTAACAGTAACTCAAGGTCTGCATCATTTATTTCACTTGTTCAATACAAATGTGGAAATGCTTCCTCATCTATGCAAATTCCCAATAAGAAACTTGACATTCCATAAGCAATACAAACAACAAACACAAAGATCATATTTATGAGTGGAATTCACAGAGTAAGGCTGATAACTAGGAAGGACTGTACATCACAAAGGTCTTAATTAATCAATATTTTTTTCTTTAGTTTTTCTTTTTTGTATTAATTACAGTTTATTCATTTTGTATCCCAGCTGTAGCCCCTTCCCTCATTCCCTCCCAATCCACCATCCCTTCCTTATTTCCTCACATGCCCCTCTCCCACTGTTAGGGGAGGTCATCAGGTCTCCTCAGGAAGGGCTACATGGTCTTCCTCTCTGGCCTGGTAAGGCTGCTCCACCATCAGGGGGAGGCAATCTAAGAGCCAGCCCCTGAGTTCATGTCAGAGACAGTCCCTGTTCCCCTTACTAGGATACCCACTTGGACACTGAGCTGCCATGGGCTACACCTGTGCAGGAGTTCTAGGTTATCTCCATGCATGGTCCTTGGTTGGAGTATCAGACTCAGAAAAGACCCCTGTGCCCAGATTTTTTGGTTCTATTGTTCTCCTTGTGGAGCTCCTGTCCCCTTAGGGTCTTTCTATCATCCCCTTCTTTCATAAGATTCCCTGCACTCTGCCCAAAGTTTGATTATGAGTCTCAACATCTGCTTTGATACACTGCTGGGTTGAGTCTTCCAGAGGCCCTCTGTGGTAGGCTCCTGTCCTGTTCCCTGTTTTCTCCTTCTTCCAATTTCCATTCTGTTTGCCTTTCTGAGTGAGGATTACTCATCTTACTCATGGTCCTCCTTCTTGCTTAGCTTTTTTAGGTGTACAGATTTAGTATGTTTATCCTGTATTATATGTCTAATATCCACTTATAAGTGAGTATATATCATATGTGTCTTTCTGCTTCTGGGATACCTCACTCAGGATGATCTTTTCTAGATCCCACTATTTGCCTGCAAATTTCATGATTTCCTTGTTTTAATTGCTGAGTAGTATTTCATTATGTAAATCAGTATTTTTATGTTATGTTGCTTAAATAGATGAAGCTTTAACAAAATCACTGTGAACTATGGTAGAGGAACCAAAGCCAGAAGTGGAGGCCCAGATAGGTTTCACTGGTGAGCTTTAGGATGGAGGCTGAAAGCTGCTCTTAACTGTGCTCTTAACTCCTTCTTTCATCTTTCTGAGAATCTAATTTGCATTCCCTGGATCCATTGCCACTCATGAGATGGGGAAAGCAGGAGTTCAAGAGTAACAGATGCTTTTGACTCACTATCCATGAACAGGGAGAAAGACAAGGGACTAACAAATGCAGTGCCAATTCCCATCTGGCAAGAAGACACTGGAGGAACAGGAGGCTGAGCCATGGTGAGAACCAGAAGCAGAAAGCAAGGGAGACTCAGTACCAGACTGGTAAGAGTCCCAAGAACCTTTCTAGCTCAGCAAGAAGAGCGAGGATACTTAGAAATAGCCATCCAGAAGACCCTTCAGTACTGATTGACTTAAAAATCAAAAATCTTTTTAGACCTTAAAACATGTTCTTAAATCCGAAACAACTTAAGCCTAACTGTCAAACTGTAACTATCTAGTCTTGAACTCCATCACCATAACTGTTCTTGCTGTATGTAGTTTATTGTAAATAAATAAAGCCCATATGCACTTGGAAAAAAAGATAAGAAAAGAGAAGAAAAGAAAAGAGAAGAGAAGAGAAAAGAAAAGAAAATTGGCTTTGCAAATTTCTTACAGGCAGTTTTGACAGCTGTAAGTTGTTGCAGGATATTTGATCCCACTATAAACCCCAGACTGTGAATTGTAGAAACCTGTTTCTAGTTGTGAAGTGGCTCAGCCCTAGCACACACCTTTAATCCAAGAAATTTCTGTTTACTGTGAACAGGTGGTTAAGGAGTGGCTCAGACTTAGCACACACCTTTAATCCAAGAGCTCTCTGTACACAGAATTAAATAATATTAACCCTAGGTCAAGAGGCAGTGCAAGAAACCAGCTGACAGGGAGTAATCAGAAAAAAGGGACATTGAGAGAAGGGTATTTAAGACAATGTGGAGAAGAAGGGGCTTTTGGGTTTTTATTCCTGCGATGTCAGGTGAGCTAACAGGCTTTTTGCTTTTGGCTTTTTCCTTCTGGGATGCTGGCTGAGTAGAAACATCAGCTGGGTGCTTTCTCTGCCTCTCTGAGCTAATAGGTTTTCACCCCAATATATGGCTCCTGGGTTTCCATTTGTAAAATCAAATGATTGAGATTTTGTTTATAAAACAACAGTAAGCACTCCTACAAATCTGACTGCTGAGTCTGTAATTTGGCTGAAGTCTGTGTTTTCACACCAGGGCTACACCTAGTATCAAAAGTGAGCCAAGATGATCACCTAGCTCCAGTATCAACACCTCAGTGCTTTCCCAGTGCATGCAAGCAGAAACTACCCACTGGGGATTTTACTCACATCAAAACAAGTTTGCACCATAAACTTCAGTCAGGCATAGATAATGGTACCTGGCATTTTAAGAGAGAAATGATGCAAATCTCAAATTGAACCATTATTTCTATAGTCATTTTGCTTAAAACTCATTGGCTATCACAAAAAAATGCAAATCATTACTTAATAAAAGTAAAAAATTATGACTTTAAAACAAAAACTATTTCTAGAATATAGACTTTGAGAAGAAAGTCTAGGAGCACTAGCTATTTCTAGTTACTCTTGAATTTTTAATTATTTTCCACACTTGCTGAGTATGTCCCTCTCAGCTGACTTCAGGAGCTTACCTTTTTTTCCCAATTGTTATTCAGAGATTCTGTACTTTGCTCACATATCTTCTTCAGTTCTGCTATCTGGTTTTCTTTAGTTTCTCTGATAACTTGACAGTCACGTATAAGGATCTGAACTGTCAAAAATTATAGAAATATAATTAAACCAGTTCCAGGAACCACATGAGAATTTGATATCTAGGTGTAACATATATTTAATAGATAATTTAATTTTTCAATAAGTCTTACTTGTATAAATCCCCTCTTCTTTCGCTGTGTTTGGCCATTTCTATAGTCACAGATGAGCTTGACTAATTGGTCTTTACTCTCTCCCTGGAACATTTAAACAGCATGCTAGCCTCAAGTATTTCTCCTCTCTGCAGCCTCTGTCTCTTTAAAGAGACCACTCAGCAGTGCAGCTCCATAAGGAGAGCAAGGCTGGGAATCATGCTAAAGTTCTACTCCCCTAAAGGATATGGGCCAAAGGCTCCAACAGGGAAATGGCTCTTTCTGATCCAGCTGCTCTCCAGCTCCATCTCTTCTTTTCCACACCTTAAATCTGCACTGTAAATCTACTACCCAATGCCATCATTTCTCCTCCTTCGTTGTTGAAATGTTTCTACTCATGGAGCGTCAGCTTTTTAAAACACACACCAAATAGATTCCTTCCCTTGCAATGAGAAAAAGAAACTCTTCTAATGTCGACAAAATCAGGTCTCTTTCTCCAATGAACCACTGAGGACATCACATCCACTTCCTTGCCAGTTTCCTCTTTAGTGAGAATATTTCATTATTCAAAGGCATACCAGTGCCATGCAGACAAGTTCTCAGAAGTTGTGGGCTGACTGAATAAAGGATGTTTTCTCCTAATACATTGTTGTTCCTAGGTACTTTCAAGTCATTTTTGACTTTCATGTTATTAAACTAACACTTTTTAAACTATTTAAGCTATTCCCTTCTGTCCTCCAGTTAAAATGTCACACTTTAAGTAAAATTTTCTTTAATATACTTGAATTAGCTAAATAAGAAACTACATTAAGCTTTACTTTTACTTCAATATAACATCTTATATATGTTTTTATTTACTTTAAAATAGAATTTTCAGAAATATTTTCCTAAACGTTTCTTTTATTCTTACACCTCAACTATGCAATTAATAAGGGGAGAAGAATTCAAGTTAACCTGATACTAGTCTTCAGCATATGCAACATATTTTACCTCACATGTCCAACATTAAACAAGATTTAAGTATATTATTAAAAGCCTTAAAAAACGTTTGTGTTGTTGTTGTTTCATTCTTGCTCATGTTGCTGCTGTTGATTCTCGTCATGGGTACCACTATGTCCCTGTTACCTGGGACCTGAAACCCCACTGCCTCAGGTTCCCATATGAATGCTGGGATTACAGACATGCATCACTATGCCTAGTTAGAAAACATTATTTCTTAAAGCCTGAATGTTTGTTTCAGCTTAAGGATGTTTGAAATGCCTAACGTGAAACAGAATAAAAAACAAAATCTAGAAATATAGAGAACTTTAGCTATCACTGATAACACTTACGGGAAAAAATGAAGAATATCCAATTACTTTCACCAACATTGAAGGCAGGAAATTAATCTAAAAATAACCAATTCACTGACTAATTCTCACATGTTATTGCTCCGCTAAACTGTCAGGAATATTACTATCCACTCTACCACAGTCAGGTTTGATCTGGGAGAAACCTAATAAATTCGAGATCAACGTTTCTCCTTGTCCTTCATTCTTACTGTCTGTATCTCTTCCTTCACTAAATATTAATCCTTCACTTCCATTCTCACTAATCCCAAGGCTGTAACGCAAATATTCTGAGCCTTTATCAAAGCATGTGCAAAACTGCACAAGTTGCCACTACACAACACACAGTCTCTCGCCTTACTTTCCATAGTCACACGAAAGTCCATATAAATTGCATCCACTGATAGAATCTCACAAAGTCTCAGAAACGACATTTTACTTTTAAATTTTAGAGCATTAAAATCAATTCAATATGTTATCAGATGATTCACATCATACACCATCACCTTTCTTTTCAAGTTTTCTTATAGTCTCCTCAGTTTCAGTTTGTTTTTTTCTGTATAAAATTTTCAAATCTTCTAATTCATTATTCTTTCTTTCTAAAATCTGCAAAAAATGTACAGTTTTAACACACAGAATTAAGTATAGAATATGTAGTTATAAGTGAGCACAGTATTTTGCAAGTGTGTCTCATAAATGATTCCAGCTAAAAACAAAAGTTTCTTTATATACACTGATAAAATATAAATGAACTAGAATACCTCATTTTACATGTTTTATTTAGAATTTTCACACGTAATTTTAAGAACATTATGAATTATAATTACATAAATCCCTGAAACATAACTGAGAAATTAAACGGTTGTGACGATGCAGAGAGAAGTCATCAGAAACGGGCTCTGCTAGGCAGTGCACCCGCGCTCCACTGACACACACCGTCTTTCAGTTGAATACAGCCAAGAATGCTCCTACCAGGGTCTCTCTGCTGTTTCACTGCTTAGGGCCCAGACCTCTTACACATTTGGGGTGATAATTTATAATAGGCTCCATTTCTATCCAGCTGTTTTGTGAACCAGAAAAAAAAAAGAGTTCAAAATGTCAAAAACCTCAATAACTTTGACACCGTTTATATTGTACCAATTGTTTCACTGTGATCTTACACTTTAGAGTAAAAAAATCAAATTAGAAACAGAAGTAACCAAAGTAGGAAAGTGAATGAACAGTAAAGAATGTTACCCAGGAGCTCAAAAGAAACCAGAGTGAAGTGGGAGTAGGCCTGGCTGCTGCTTTTATAAGAAAAGTTGTTCAACAATGCCAACGTATTTTTCTTAATGTTTTTATTAGCAGCATTCTACTTTACCTTCTTATTTTAGTCTCAACCCCATAGCTGCTGGACCATATCCCCACAAACCATGAGCCAAAATATTTTTCCTTTCTTAAGCTGCTTTTTCTCAGGTATTTGGTGTAAGTCGTATGAAATTATTAATATTAAGTAATATAATATTTATAATAATATAATAAAAATATTAAAAATTGGTACCAAGAAGCAAGGGCACTGATGTTATAAGCGTGACCATCGGTTCTGGGACTTTGGAACTGGTTTGCAGGACGGAAGAGGAAGACTGGAGAGAAACCCTAGAACACTATACACAGAGCTTAATTATTCTTGCTTAAACTATTCTGGCTCAAGGTTGGAAACTAGAATGCCAATAAAAAGGGAGAAAGTCAAACATAAACTGGTGTATCAGAAGGGGTTGTGAACTCTGGGCTAGATGCTATTTATATTTTATTCTAGCAAAGAATTTGGCTGCATTCTGCTCATATCCTGAAAATACATGAAGCTTAACTAAAAAGTCATACACAAATTTTGTCAAAGAAATTATAAGACAGCAAAGCTAACTCAGGGTGTGGCATAGCTACTACTTACTGTTTTAGTCAGATTTATAGAAAATGAGAGCAGAAAGAAATACACAATTTGACAAATAAAAATTTTTGAATCCAGTTAAAATCGACAACGGAACAGGTGGGAACAAAACATGTGTATTTGTTAAAGAGAATAGTGCCATTAAAGAGAAACCACAGATTTTGTACTGGGACAACAGGAAAGGAGCCATGAAGGTCAAGACTTCACACATCTAGAGCAACAGAGTTACAGCAGTGCAAAATTACCTAAATTTTCAATTTGAAAAGAGTGTGACTAAACAAAGAGCAGGAAATCCTGCTCAAGCAGGGTTACCTAGCAAAGTGTTTTTTCCAGGTTCAACCTCAAAGACAACAGGAAATTCAGCTGTGGCCCAAGGGGGCTAGGCTACGTCTCAAGTTGGTATAAAGACATAATGTTGTTCATGTGGTGCTAGTGTTTTCAACTCTGAAGAGTGAGGATGTAACAAACAGAGGCTTATGCTGGATTCTAGAAAGCTCCTGAGGCCAAGCAATGGCCTAAGAGAGAGGCTCTCTGTGTTACAGGCAGCTGAGCTGGAGAAACAAAGCTAATCAAGCCCAACGGAGCCCATATGATATTGCCACAAGACTTACATGCCTGGCACAGAACCGGAAGGTTTGGTATTTTCCATGATGAATTTCATTGTTATTTTGGTCTGGTTTTTCCTTTCTACTCTGCCTTCCTCCCCTTTGGAATAGAAATGGTTTACCCCATGTGCTGGAAACATAAAGCTTTTTAATTTAAGAAGGACTCACATTTAAGGGACTGCCTTGAGTCTCTAAAGAGACATACATAGCCTTTGCTCTTTTGAACGGGACTGGAACTGTAGGACTATGGAACCTTTTGAAGCTTAACTGAATGCATTTTGAATTTTGAGGCAGCCATACATGATCTTACAGGGCTCAAGGTGGAATGTTTGGTGTGGATATACAATGTCCTCCACAGGCTCAGGTGTCTGAACATCTAGTTCCCAGCTGGTAGAACTATTCTGAGAGACTGTGGACCATCTGAGAGATGAGGCCTCAGTGATGCAAGTGGGGTTTTGGGTGTCAGGCATTGAGGTTTATACCCTATCCCACTTCTTGTCCTATCTATTTTCTAATCCACAAATGTGAAGCAACCAGCTGCTGCAAAACCCCACTGCAACAGAGATAGGTTCCCTCTAACTCTCTCCACAATGCTAGACTGTGTCCTCTAAAACTATAAGCCACAAAAAGCCTTCCTCCCATGTTTCTTGTCAAACATTTATCATGATGATGGAAAGAGTAATTAATAAATATACCAAGAAGCTTACTTCAAACTTTATCACCATGATGCTGCCAAATATCTTTAAAATTCATTTGTCTAATATATTAATGTATTATTCTCAACTGGTTCTATTTTCTTTTGATATTTTATAATAAAATTTTATTATATAAATTTATAATGAAAAGTTTTATTTAAACAAAAGTAAAATTCTCATTATAGCAAAAGTATTTGCTTTTATCATTTTAATGGGGAAGAAAGGAAAATAAACACTTTTTTTTAAATACATAAGGAATCGTTTCCTTCTTGTTGCTTAGAAAAAATGATGAAGAATGACAAGCTGGATCAGTGAGGAAAGTGCTTGTTACACAGTATGAGGGCCTGAGTTGAGATCCCAGGACATGAAGGCCAGGCACGGTGGCCTGCACTCAATGCTCCAGTGCTGGGGAAGCAGAGAAAGGCAGATCCAAGGCGCGGAACTAAATAGACTGGTCAACTAGTCTAGCCAAAATAGTGAACACCAGGTTCCATGAGAGACTCTGTCTCAGAAAATGAGCTAGAAAACAACAGAGGAAGAATCGTAAAGCAGCCCCTACCCTCTACAGATACAGGTCGGGGTAATCATGACCTTATACGCACTTCACACACACACCACTTGTGCACACACACACAGACACACACCATAAGAATCAAATAATATACTTGACTAAATACTGAAGTATTTTGTTTCAGAGATGCTTGCCCGCACAATACTGTGGCCTCAGTTTTCTGCCTATGCCCCTGCTCTGTTTTCCTTTGTTTAATGTTTGAGACATGATCCCTCACTCTGGAGCCAGGCAGGTCTGGCCATGCAGACTGCTCTGGTTGTGCATGCCACTACTCTAGAGACCAAGGCAAGAGGATGATGAGGTCATGGCATGCCTGGACTACAGATGTGTTTGGTGCTGGGATTATTGTGCCTAGCTGATTCTGTCTTTGTTATTCAGTTTAGAAAAGCAGACACATGGACTTAGTTTTGAAATAACATGTGCAAACTTTCTATTTGTACAAAACTTATGTATTTAAAACACACTTTATTAAAACTAAAATGTTAAATAATTACAAAAGTAAGCATAAATTAAAATTCTATGTAACAAACCATGCTTGACATTTGCTGAGACAATAAAGGAGATACAAATTTAGTTCACAATATTGAAATATTGCGGCCATGCTTGATAGGGCAGAGCTATAACCCAAACTACTTGGGAGGCTGAGACAGGATGATCACAGAGTAAGCTTAAGGCCAGGCAAGACACTTACCAAGATATTGTCTCAAAATAAAAATATTTTTTTAATGGCTGGGAAGGTAGCCTAGTATAGTAGTTCCCTAGCATTTAAAAATATTTGGCTCAATACTCAGTAACACACATAATAAGCAAGTAAGTAAATAGTAAGTAAATAAATAAACAAATGCTGAAAAATTGAAAGCACAAATCTGAGTAAATATTCAAAAAGAAAGCTTTGATTGTCAGTGCTGGCACTCTACTACATGCAGTCAAAACCAAACAGAACTAAGTTCACGAGTGTGTGTGTGTGAGTGTGTGTAAGAGAGAGAAAAGAGAGAAGAGAGGAGAGAGAGAGAGAGAGAGAGAGAGAGAGAGAGAGAGAGAGAGATTATAGGCCCTCAGGAAAATGAACTTTTATTTAAAATGAAAGCTCTATTGTATAGACTTTGGATCTTCACTCTGAAGGTACCAAAAGTTCTTTTTGAGCCTAAAAAAGCAAGGTGCAGTGACACTCATGAGGCCTAAGTGGGAGAAAAACAGGGCCAGATGGGGAAACAATATGATGCTTAATCTAATTAATTAATTAAAAAGGAAAATGAATCAAAAACCTAGTATCAGGATAAAACAAACTATAGTATTTACAGTTGTTATTTTATTCCAGCTTTCAACTTGAGAAGACACGGTAAGAGAATAATGAGGCCAAGGCCAAACTGAGTAACTTAGTGAGATCTCATCTTTTTTTTTTTTTTCTTTTTTTTTTTTTTTTTTTTTTTGTGAGATCCCATCTTAAAATAGTTCACATGTATAGTATTTTCTGGTCCTAAGTTTTTCAGATACACAGACACACAAATACACACTCACAAAAATCTTAAGTAATAATCTAATAAAAGGTATATGAAATTCAGCTTTAAATTACAGTTGAAAAATAGGTAATGTAAAAATAGGACAGAAATAGACACATTTTCACAAATAAAGTTTACAGATAACTTTTGATGAGATTTTACTTTAGCACATTCCATTTACAACATATACCATCACCAAACACCTAATCGGTGGATAGACAGACATCACAAGCCGCAGAGTACAGTAAATACTGCATACAACAAACATGATATATACTCTACCTTCTGCATATCAGCATCATGTTTCTGCTGCAGCTTAAGTTTGTCTTCATAAAACTTTGCTTCCATCATTTTTGTTTTCATGTCCAACTTCAAGGGAAATATTTTAAAGATTACCAGAGAGTCATTTTATAGTGGTGCCCTGTTCTTACATTCAAACCCACACAGTATTTCCATCTTTATTATTTTCATTTCAGTAAGTCTCTCCCAACTTCTTATCTTGGCTCACATCTGCACGCTCATTTCAAAATATTCCTATTAGCCTATGTGTTGAAATATGACATTCTAAGAAAGAATATTCATGTAAACAGCAGATTACTGTCTGGGCAGCTGGCTCAGTTAGTAAAGCACTTGCTATGCAAGCATGGCTTTGATCCTGAGCCGATGTTGTGAACAACCACCACCAAACCAGGCATGGCAATGGACATCCCAGTTCTGGGACAGCAGAGACAGGAGGATCCCTAATACTTACTGCCCAACAGCTGAGCCTACTTGGAAAGTTCTAAGCCAATAAAACTGCTTGCTCATTTCAAAAAAAGAATGAAAACAAAGCAATAAGTAACTTCAGAAATTAAAATTCCAGTAAGTTAATTAAAAATCTCAGTAAAAATCCTTACAGTAAAATGGATTACATAGAAAACAGAATAGTTAGAAATAATGGCTAAGTCAGAGAATATGGATCATTTGTTAAGACCAACAATAAATTTAAATATATATAAAAGAATAAAATTATGAGCTCTTTGAGACAGAGTGAGAAGACGAAATTTATGAGTTGTGGACACAGAAGAGGAAAAATGTTGTGTTAAATACATTAAAAAATATCTTCAATATAATGATGGAAGATAAATGTCCAATCCTTGGGAAATAGATGACCATCCAGATAAAAGAGGCATACAGAATACCAAATAGGCAGAAAAGAAATTTCTTCACATTACACTACAGCCCAAACACTAAAATTTCGGAATAAGCGAATTTGTGCTAAAAGTGGCAAGAGAGAAGGACTAAGTCACTCAGAAAGGGGAGCCTATCAGCACGATGATTTTTCAGTGCAAACTCGTAAACATTAGAAAGGCATGAAAGCATATGTTTCAAGTTTTGAAAAGTCCCCAGCTGCCTACCCAGGTACTATATCCAACAAAACTTTCACAACCTAGGAGAAAGAAAAACTTTCCATTATGAAAGTCAGAAAGCAATATATGAGTACTAGGCCAACACTACGGTGGACACTGGAAGGAATACTTTGAATGGAGGACAATGATAAACACATCCAAGAAGTTATATGGAAAAAAAAGTTTCCAAGACAATTATTAATCAAATGAGGGCTTAACAACCATCAAACACTACAAAATCAACAAAATGGCAGGAATTGAATTAATATACACCTTTCAATAACAATTCTGAATATCTGTGGACTAGACTCACCACTAATCAACAGACACAAAATAACTGACTAGATTAGAAAGCACAATCTCTCTTTTTGCTGAATCCAAGCAACATGCTTCATAAACACAGACAGCCACATTAGTGTGAAAGAATGGGCCAAGGGATTTCAAGCCAATGGAACCAGGAAACAAGTGGGTGTAGGTATTTTGATACCTGACAAAACAAGACTTCAAACCAATACTACTGAGAAGGTATAATGGTCACTTCATTATATCATACTATATCATACTGATAAAGGAAACAATCATCAAGAGAACATTATAATTTTAAGCATATTACACTGAGCACAGGCGACACAATTCCGTAGAGCAAATACCATGACATTAACACCAACACAGTAATAATGACTGTAATACCCTATTTTCACCAACAGACAAGTCATCTAAGCAAAAAACAAACATCATTGATAAAATGCATCATAGATAAAATGAATAGGCTTCTACAGAGAATTCCACCCAAAACTGAAGAATGCACATTCTTCCATCAGTCCCCAGGACTTATTCTAAAACCAGCCATCACAGGGACACAAAGCTAGTCCCTCCCCCCACACCACCAAAAAAGAAAAAAAAAAAATAGACATAACTTTCCATATTCTATCTGACCATGGAATAAAACTAGAAATCAGCAGCAATAGAAACCACAGAAAACACATAAACTCAAGAAAACTAAACACTAAACATAACACTACTGAATAATGACCGGGCCACTGAAGAAATCATAGGAATTTACACTTTTCTAGAGCTGAATGAAAACTTTGGGTGTAAGTTACATTCCAAAACCCGTAAGATACAACAAACACAGTCCTCTTAGCTCTAAGAGTTCATGTGACAAGATCAGGGGATTCTAAAACCAACAATGATGCATCTCAAGGTATGGGAAAAACAAGTCCAAACATAGTAAACAGAAATAATTAAGATCAAGGCACAAATCAATGAAATAGACACAAAAACAATTGAAAAATGAATGAAGAGTTGGTGCTTTGAAAAACAAAATTGATAAACCTTTCAACGAATCAATAAAAGCCAGAGAGAAAAGACTAAAAATTGTAAGACTAGAGCTAAAAGGGCAGATTACAATAGATAGCAATGAAATACAGAGAAACATGAGAACATAACCCCAAACCTATATAATCTATAAAATTAGAAATACAAAAGATTGAAACTCTAAACAGATATGACCTACCAAAGTTAAAATCAACAACAACAAAAACAGGAAGGTAAAATGCCTAGACTCATTCATGCTCAAAAGTTTGTATCCAGCTAACATGGTTCCCTGGCATGGAATGGCTTTTACATTATTGCTCATCTATTCTAAACTGCTCAACACATGAAGAAAACTCAGATGAGGAAAAGATGATACATTCTCTAAATAATTAACCTTGTAGCCTAAAATTTCCCTGGGAGGAAAACCTGGCACAACTGGAAAGAGAAAGAGACAGACCTCATCACCTCTACCCACTAATATGACATGCCACCCCTGCCAGGCCTGTTGTTTGAAGATGCCTTTTACTTTACTGATATTTATTTAACCTTACAGAATCTCAACTGAAGGTTGCATAACAAAATTTGCTGTTTAAATATTTGATATTTCACATTTTTTATTTTTAACTAATGAAACTTCCTGTGGATATTCTGTATTTTCTGTTTTAACTCTTTACTTCTTTCATAATTTATTTGCACTCTTTATTAAAATAGTACCTTCAAGATCACAAAGACATCATTTTTGTTTTTCATACAAAGAACCTTTGATCACCAAATCCCAAAGCTTCTGTATCCTTCACTTGTGGTGGTTTGAATGATAATGGTCCCCATAGAGTCATGTGTTTATATGTTTGGCCACAGGGAGTGCCACTATTAGGAGGTGTGGCTTTGTTAGAAGAAATGTGTCACTATGGCGGCGGGCTTTGAGGTCATATGTGCTCAAGCTACACCCAGTGTGGTACACAGTTGCTTCTGTTGCCTGTGGATCAAGTATAGAAGTCTCAGCTCCTTCTCCAGTATCGTGTCTGCCTGCATGCCTCCATGATGATAATGGACTGAACCTCTGAAACTGTAAGCCAGCCCCAATTAAATGTTTTCCTTTATAAGAGTTGCCATAGTCATGGTGTCTCTTCACAACATAAGAAACCTTCACTGTTGGGCAACACAGTGAGAAGGTTGCTGTTTTCACCCTTCTTCCAGCAGCTTGCCTAAGCTTCTGTGCTAGCCACTACTCTAGGACTTTGGGAAATGTTTCTCTACTGTTTTTGCATTTGTCTCATTCTTCTACTACATAAAGGTAGCCATTCTCTCTAAATGAGTCCTGCATTCATCTTCACTACCTAAAAACATGAGCCCCTGTTGGCCTTATCTGTGTTCAACTGTAGCTTCTCATTTAGAGGAATCACAGTCTGTCTCCATAGGACTTCTGTGTCAATGGTCTCCTCAGCACCTCCAGTGGCAAGTGCCCATAGAGCATCCCATTCAAGAACCAGAAAAATCAGTACTCGGTATGCAGCATTAAGTTCTGTACCTTAGCCTCCTCTTTTCCCCCGCCTTCTCAATGTCTAAGTGATTTCCACATTAAATCCCATCAGGACTGGCTTTATTTGCAACCTCACCTGACACTTCTTCATCAACCCTCCATTAACTGTCACAACAACCTCTTCACCCTTTTCCAACTTGCAGCATACTAATCCATCTGAGAAACCACTGCTGACTTAACTGCCTCAAGTGCACTGAGAAAAATCTCATTATCTCCTAAAACCTCCAGAGGGCCCTTGTCTTGTTGACAGCAATATAAATTTCTGACCAAAACTCTCCTCTTCCCCATGACATACCAGCCAAGCATACATAAGCTCTAGGCCTTATTTCATTCTCCCTGTCTTCAGCTGCCTATTAAAATATCATACAATTCAACTTCTGGCTCAAGCATCGCTTCCTCCATAAAGTCCACCACAAACTCTGCTGACAGAAGCAAATGTCTCCTCCATTACACGTTACACTGTTTCCTCCTCTATGTTGTCTTTTAGTTGCTTTGCACATCTTTCTTTCTTAGAAATAAAGATTAAGGTTTGAGGGTCTTCTCATGTATATTAAAAAATATTTTATAGTCATATTTTAATAATATTTATATACTTTGACAGTTTGATTATAGTCACTTATGTCCTTTGTGCTGTACAAATGTATGCATGCATACATGCATATTATGTATATTAAAATTAAGTTTTACATCTTATAAAAATAAACAAGTGGGCCAATATGAGAATATGAGCAGAGAAGCCCTTCTTAAAATAGTGCACTAATACTGCCTTTTCCCATTACTAAAAGCTAACTGGTGTTCTTATCTCCAAATCTTCTAGTTTTAAGGAGGTTTATTTTAAGTCTGAAGTATAACACCTATGCCACTTGTCCCCATCAAAATTTCAACAGTGAAAAAGTTGAAATAAATGGGGGAAAATGCCCTTCCTTATCTGACTCAACTCTAAGCATATACCTGGAAGATATCCTTAGACAATTTCCTTGAACATCCAACCTAAGAAACCCATATTTGGAAGAAATAAGAAATTTAAAGATCAGGGCTGACTTCAAAGTACTAGGAGTATTTGCCACCCCACGCTGTAGAAATCACAGCTAAAACAGAAACGGAAGTTGGATGGCTCCACTTTTTAAAGAGCCTTCCACAAACTTTTTGAAAAAGAATTTCTGAAATTTCTACTTAAAATTAGGCCCTATTTGCTCTGGAGTGTTTACTTCAAACAATTGCTCTGAGGTTGTACGTTCCTACAACATTAATAAAGCCAATACATATGCTGACTCATTTAACATACAAGTCTCTTTAGGTATAAAGACAGCCTACTTAAAGTATAATTAACAAAATTTAGAATTAACTGCAAATGTTCATTTTATTCAACTTCATGTTTACAAACTTTATGCTAGGCATCTTCTCACTGAAAAACAATTTTCAAATGTTCTATTCAATCAGTTATTCACATCATTCATGAAAAGGAGCAGTGTGCTTATATAAAATACTGCCTTTTATTATTTCCCGTCCAAAATATGCAAAATTTAGTATTTGATACTGAAACTGACAGAATACCAAAATAAAATAAAAAATCATAATACTCATTAATGACTGTAACAGCAAAACAAATTAAAAGTTTTTCAGACAGGCATCTTCTACACTAGAAAACTACTAGGACCGGGTACAGAGGTGCAGCCAGCATGCCTCTGGAGAGGCTGAGGCAGGAGTGGTGCTTGAGCCCCGGAGCTTGTGGCCAGCATGGATAACATAAAGAGACACTGCCCCACATATGCAAAAGAGGAAAAAATGTTTGTAAACTAAAATACCAAGAAATGCCCCTGTAAGTTGACCAACTCCTTCAAGCATATCACAAGAACCCAAATATACAAAAGCAAGCGAATTTTATGTTGATATATGGAATAACTACAAACTCTACGAGCTTTCAGTGAAAGTCAGCATGTGCCCTTGGTCAGACGGATGAAGCTTAAGGTTTATAGCATTGAACGAGCCTAAAGCACGGCACTGTCAATCCTCCCCACAGACCAGTAATTTCCACAACGCTACTAGCAAAGCCAGAGTGACACACTTGTGTTTGGTCATGCTACTAGCCAAGCCAGAATGACACACTGGTGTTTGGTCATGCTACTAGCCAAGCCAGAATGACACACTTGTGTTTGGTCATGCTACTAGCAAAGCCAGAAAGACACACTTGTGTTTGGTCATGCTACTAGCCAAGCCAGAATGACACACTGGTGTTTGGTCATGCTACTAGCCAAGCCAGAATGACACACTTGTGTTTGGTCATGCTACTAGCCAAGCCAGAATGACACACTGGTGTTTGGTCATGCTACTAGCCAAGCCAGAATGACACACTGGTGTTTGGTCATGCTACTAGCCAAGCCAGAATGACACACTGGTGTTTGGTCATGCTACTAGCCAAGCCAGAATGACACACTGGTGTTTGGTCATGCTACTAGCCAAGCCAGAATGACACACTGGTGTTTGGTCATGCTACTAGCCAAGCCAGAATGACACACTTGTGTTTGGTCATGCTACTAGCAAAGCCA